CCCAGCCCCGCCCCGACCGACTCGATTCGAATTTAATTTCGGGCTCTCTCACATGGTGCGCGCCGGGGCCCCCGCGAGCGGAACCAAAAGCCCGCAGCATTTTTATTGAGCCACTTAGCCTCACGCGAAAAGCCACTCCGTTGCGGAGTCCTCGGCAAACGGAGAAGAGGGAGCGCGGCGCGCAAGGAGAGGGTCCCTATACGCCGCCCCGCCCCGCCTACGCAAACTCCTTGGCGCGGGGCGCTCCATTTCCACCTGCCCCGCGCAAACGCGACAAGAAAGAAAATCCGCGCGCGCAGTATTTTTCGGCTTGAGAATGAGGAGATAAAAGCAAGCGGGGTCTGCAACAACACAAACGGGCGGCGAGTGACGCGTCAGTCGAGTACCGACCCCCTCTCCTCGAGTCCGATCGGTACGCCATCAGCACCCTCGTGGGGGGCCCCAGCACCGCGCGCCCCGCGGGCAGGGGCTCTCCCCGGGCTCTCCCCCGCCGCGGGGGCTCCCTCCCCGGGCTCCACCCCGGCGGCTCTCCTCACATCAATGGCTGCGGTAAGTGACGCAAATGGCAATCAGGCCGGCAGAGCCAGGCGAGGACGCGGCGGCGTGGGGCCTGGGGAGCCTCCCCGCAGACAGACAAGAACGGCTCAGAGCACTCTCAATGATTCGGTCGCCAATTCGTGGAAAAGGTTTTTTTGCGCGTGGGCGTGGTAGATTATTCCAGAGGGCAACTGCTACAAGTAAGGTTAATGGAAGAGTATACACGGTGTTTCAAAGCGATTAAACGCAAAAACACAAGATCGTACCACCCCCTAAAAATGAAGAAAAATAATGCCTTGTTTAAAATGCTTTGTTTAAAATGTCGCTGAAGAAGAACAATTTCTAGGAGTGTAGCCGGCTTATCCCCTCGGCCCAGGCGCCCCGGTTCGTTGGGGCGCCCGCGACGTCCCGCTGTCCAACCGGGCGGCCGGGCGGGGGAGTAGAATGGCAGATCAGCCGTAGGAATTCCCCGGCCGTCAAGAGGTGAACAGGGTGGGCCCATAGCAGCCAGCCCCACAGAGACGTGGAGCAGGAGGGGAAAATGAAGGGGTTGGTCGGGGTGGAGCAGGCGCGCGCCGTTTGTAAATGGCACGACCAAAAATACAATGGCATAAATTATACTTTTAAGAAAATCCTCCTACCATCAGCAGCACGGCAGAAGCTTCTAAATCCATTAAACAAATTTAACATTCAAATAACGTTTGTTTGTATTTTGTTTCAGAATGTTACTTTACGCCTTCAAGAGAAGTCCCACTACCACCACCACCCACCCCTTCCGCCGCCGTTGTTGTTTCCCCCCTGGAGGCTTTTCATCCCATCTTGCCATATAAGAGGCAGCATCGCGGAGGAGGAGGGGCTGAAGGAGCCGAGAGGGTATCGCGGGGCTCTCGAGACAATGTAGCGCCGGTGCTAATTACACGCTGCTGTGCAGGTACCCCCACAATGGGGGCCGTGGCGAGGGGGTGGATAGGGGTGCGGGGTCCTGCTGCCAGGGTTTAATCCCCGGCCGAGCGAACGGGCGAGGGGGATGAGGCTCGCGGCCTTGGCGGGGACCCCTTAGCCGTCAGCGAGAAGGTGTGTTCTAGTGCGGGGGCGGTGGGCGGGCGCGGGTTCTTATTCGGAGGGGCGCTCCAGAGACGCGCCGCCGACACGGTCCGTATAACACGCAGCTATGGGGGGCGGTTGGGGGCGGGCGCGCTTGCATCACTGAAGCCATCTAGCAGGAGGAGCCGCCGCCGCCGCCACCACCCTCACCACCACCCCCGCAGCAGCCGAGGAAACGCCAGGGCTGATCTTGAAAAATGTCACTGCGGATGGGGCACCACCGCCGCGCCCCCGGCTGCGCACGCCAGGAAGGAAACAGGGCCCGGATACACTTTAGCACTACCCGGCTACACTGGCGCCCGGATACACTTTAGCACTACCTGGCTACACTGGGGCTCGGCTCCACTTTAGCACAACCAGGCTACACTGGCGCCCGGATACACATTAGCAAGCACTACCCGGCTACACTGGGGGACTGGGGCCCGGATACACTTTAGCACCACCCGGCTACACTGGAGCCCGGATACATAAACTTAGAACTACCCGGCTACACTTAAGAACTACCCGGCTACACTTTAGGACTAAGTGGCTACACTTTGTCAATTCCCGGATGCACTGGGGCCCGGATACACTTTAGCACTACCCGGCTACACTGGGGCTCGGCTCCACTTTAGCACAACCAGGCTACACTGGCGCCCGGATACACTTTAGCAAGTACTACCCGGCTACACTTTACCGAGCACGGTAGTACGGAAAGGCCCAGCAGCCAAGGCAGCCCTCTTGCTGCAAGGGCGTGAGGGGGCTAAGATAAAGGGAGGAGGGCCCGTTCAGCAAGAGATAGCAGTAGCAGAGCAGAGGATTATGGGGCGGGGGGTTGGGGGAGGGATAGAGGGGGTGCACAAGACGTAACTGGTGTTGTGGTGGTTGTTGCTGCGGCGGCGGGAAGAGGGAAGAGTGTTAAACACCAGAGTGTAAAGCCGCCGAAGCACTCGCGGCGGCGGCGCGCGTCTTTCGAATTACTTCATTCATTCCGTCCCCATTCATTTACGCGCTGCTCGTGTCCTACTCTCCCCGCTGTGGGAACTTGGCCGTACTACTAACGCGTCCAAGATGGCGCGCAGAGGTCCACGCACGCACACACACACACAGAGTTAATGATCCATCGCCATCCTTTTATTGTTATTGCGACCATCACTTCATGGCAAGACGGGAGAGGGGAGGGAGGGGCAAGGGTCGCATCGTAAAGCCCTTCCCGTGCAGAGAGCCGCTCTCTGACACGAAACGCACATCAAACGGAATAGAGCGGCCGCGAGCCGGAAAAAAGAAAGACCGGTGGTGGTGGATAGAGAGGGGGATGGATGGGGGATCGAGGGGGCCACGATGAAAGGGTTCACTCATATTTGCATCCGGGGCCGCAGGCCCGGCGCAGGCCGCAGTACTTCCCCCGTTTGTTTGCCAGTCGCCAAGGATAAAACTTTCCGTTGTTATGCTTTGACTGGGTGACTGGGTGGTATTACCAATCGCGAAAGAAGTGGGCGAGGGACGACACAGGAAATAAAAGAGAAAAAGAGAAGACATGGAAAATTTGTCTCGGGGCTGAAGGGTAACCGTCTCGGTACTTGCGTGCAGCATTGTACCCGAGCGAGTGTGTGTGTGAGGTACCATATGTGCGTGCAGCGAGCGTTACCCAACCCATTGCGAGGGACAAACACCTTTATAGCCTCTCTGCACATTCTCCATCTGACTCCACTACGCGAAAAGAAACAAAAACAATGGAGGAAAAAAGATAAAAACAATCAAACGAAAAAAAAACACTCGCGAGGAGGTAGGTCTTACCGAGTCCCAGCTCGGGCCAGTGCTCGAACAGCGTCCAGTGCACGTCCTTGGCGACGCGGTTTTTGACAGAGAGGACGGAGCAAAGGTCTGCGGCGCGCAGGTTGCGCTCCACGAGCACGGACTGGGCAGCGTGCGGAGAGCCATCGTCGTTGTAAAACAGCAGCTCCTCCTGGACCAGATGAAAAAAAAACACATTAAAAATAGATGCAAGTCGTAAATTCTTCATCAGTCGAGTCACATCAAACACACAAAAAACGAATTAAGCACTACTCCCGACTACTCCTCCAGAAAAGTAAAGTTACGAATGCAACTGCTCTTTACTGTTGCTCTATTAAGAAAAATGAGATTGCTGTCGTTAAAAAAAAGAGAGTGCTTAAAACATTAACCTTTTTCCACGTTAATTACGACCGTTCGAGTAAGAGGTGTGGAAACCTCCCGCCCGGCGCGCGGCGGGGCGAGTCGGGGGCCGGGCGGGCGACTAGCACCTCACATTGTTTTCTTCCTTCCTTCCATTTTATTCCAACTGCTCCGCGCAATTACCGGCGCACTGTATATACCCTCAAATTTACTGCGTCGTAAAATCAAGGTTTCTGTGAAGATATTAACTCCACGGGGCGGGCCTTTTAATGCGCCGCGCGGTGCAACCGCGCATGCCGCGCCAGAGATAAGAGGGAGAGAGAGAGAGGGAAGGAGAAAGCATATAAGAGGGGAGAGAGAAGGAGAGCCGAGTATGAATAGTGAAGACTGCAACCCGGGCCAGCGGACATAAAAAGGCGAAAAGTCTGCACGAGTGTGTGTGCGTGAGAATACCGCATGCGTCTGTCTGTGTGAGCGCACTTACATAGACATACATGCACATGAGCACCGCCCCCCTCAAACAAACACACACTCACAGTGCAAGAGAAAACTTGCCACGGCGGCGTCGCTGGGTGCTACTTTGTTTCAAACTCTTTCAAATGAAAAGAGCGCACCGACACTTTTTATCACCGCCGAAATAATAAGCCCCGGCCGCCACCGCCGCGTAAACGATAAACCAAAACGCTTTTGAATAAGACGCGAGCGCTCGGCTTTATAAATACATTCGTTTATATTGCTCTATACGACGACGCCCGCCGCCTGCCTGCCTATACACTCGTCTCCTTATCTATCGCGTCAAGGATGCGCGCGCGCAGCGGCGATCGAACATCGGACACGACAAAGTTGTGCGTCGCCCGCGGAGGCGGCGGAGGCGGCGGAGGCGGCGGAGGCGGCGGAGGTGGCGGAGGCGGAGGGGG